AGGCCTGCGCCAGGCCCTGGAAGTCGAAGCGGTAGGCGTAGCGCTTGCCGTGCACCTTACTCATGATGTTCTTGTCGTAGTAGTAGCGAAGGGCGCGGCTCAGCTTGTCGTAGTTCATGTTGGGCTTGCTCTTGCGCTCGCCCCACCGCCGCGCCACCTCGTCCGGGTCCGTGAGCTTGAACTCGCCGTGACCACCCTCCCACGCGATGCAACCGGCGTTCGCGCGGTCAGCCAGCAGCTCCAGCAGAAACTGCCACAGCTGGATCTGTCCGCTGCCTGTGGGGAGGGGGGTAGTCAGCCACAGGTGGGAGCGGGGAGGCGGGAACTGGGAAAGAGTGCAGACGGGAAACCGACCCACCCCGGCAGGAACCGGCACTGGGGGAGGAAAAGCGCAAGTCAAATTGTGCAGCTGAGTTCGGCAGGAGCAGCCGACCGGGGAGGGGTTGATCAGCAGAGTGGTCTCTAGCCTTTACCATGCTTTTGCACAATGGAAATGCGGCTTCCATTGAAGAGCACGTAGCTTGCCGGATGCACGGTTTTGGGAAACTTCGGGGGGGAAAGGGGAAGTGTCGCCTACTCCACGTGAGCACAGCGGCGCCCCAAGGCATTCGGCTTTCCAAGGCGAGCAAGGACAGATACCCGCCGCCACTCGCCATCTCAGCCCGGCGCTCTTATTTAGGGAGAAGCCGCACAACCGTACAGGGCGTCACTGGGCAGAATGATTGGACTGCCCCATCCCAGCGGGACCACATCCAGAGATGGGAAAGGACAGGCATGCAGCGGGACGACCCAACCACTGCTGGACAAGGCCCAGCCAGTCCCCAAAGACGTAGTTGGACAGGCTACACCTGAGGTGGAGTGGTGGCTGGCTTCCTTGTAACCACATCCGACAGGAGTAGGAAGAGTGGCCCCCTATAGGTGACAGGAGGGGCAAGCTCTCAGGGGCTCCCCATCCTAGCCACCTTTGGGTGCGCAGGCCTCTGCGCTGACCCTAAGAGTTTGGTCTCTTGTTTTCGGAACAGGCGGGATTCCCTGCCTACGAAGGTGCCATCGTTCTCGGGGCCTGATGAACAATTCTGAGGAGGGGAACTGACCGAGCAGCTGTTGTGCTTGGCTACCAACCTCCTCCTCCTGTCTTTGTGTGATATGCCTCCGAATTCGCGGTTGCTGGAGGCAGCAAGGAGGTTTTTCCAGGATATGCCAGTGGTGAGAGAGTGGAGTCCCAGAATTCCTGCTCCCCTGTCTTGTAGCCTCAAGCAGACAGGCAGAGAAAACTCCTGATACAATTACCCCCACTCCTTTTTAGAATAAAACGGATTTTCCTCGAATTGGTCTGCTTACTGTCTCAAATAGAGTCTGGTGAACCCCTCTTCCTTTTTCAGCCACTGGCTTAGAATCCAGATGCTACCCTCTCCCATGATTTCAATCCCAATCCCTTCAACCAGCCCAGCAAAGAGCTTCCTGGTTCCTAGTCCCCAGCGTTAAGTTTTAGGGTCAGAAGCAAGGGAAGATTTGGGTACAAAGGTGCACCTGGCACCAAAGGTGGAGCAACCTCAGCGGTTTGGATGCCCGTTCCTGTTAGGCGTAGTTTCCTTCTGGATAAAACAGTCGCCAACCTCGTTTTTGTGGTTTCTGTCTCTTGGTGAGATCTAGGGTAACGACTGAGATGGGGACTGTGGGGAGACGCTGCTTGAAGAGCCAGCCAACAAAAGGGTAATTTATCCTCTATCCGTGGAGCACTGGTGGTGAACCTGGGAATCAATTGCAATCGTCTGGCAGACTTGGCCGGCAGAGATCAGCCAGCCTAGGTCAGCGCGGGAGGGTAAGCAGGTGGCAGTGACCAGGGTCTAGTGATTGGGAAGCCCACTGTGTTTGGGGAATAATTCCCCCGGTTCCATTGCCAGCTGGTGCTGCGGCCTTGAACTCCTACTACCAGCAGGGAAAGGACGCTAAGTGTCCCAGCCCCTGCCCCAAAGCCTGGAAAACCATACTCAGCAGCAAAAGGGCCTGGGGCTGGGATCCTCTCCACCTGCCTTGGCCTGCAAGTCTTTTCCTGGTGCTCAGAAGATGCAGGAGCCAAAAACCAAGTGAATGTCTTCCCAAGGCCTCCCCACAACCAGGCCAGGACTCTGGGCTTCAGTGTGAACCCTGAGTCCACACTGCTCCCGCCTTCTGTCCGCCTGTGCCCTGACCCCAACCAACCTCGCCTCCGCAGCCCAGCGTGCCACCCAGCTCACCTTTCTGAACCGCCGGGCTCAGCGGGCCCCAGCTCGGGTTCTTCCCTTCCTTGAAGAGACCGTCTCCGACGGGATCTGCAAGCAGCAGACGAAAAGAATCAGGCGAACCCCAGGCGGAAGTTGTGGGCTTGACAAAAGGGCCCCGGGCCAAGGCTCAAGGGGGGTGCTGTGGTCCCCAGGCGCGAGGCTGGGGGCCCGGGCCACCCGGCTCCTCCTCCCGGAGCCTGGTCCAGGCGCGCTGCGCGGAGCCCCTCCGTAGAGCCCAAGTCAGGAAACGCGTCCAGGAAAAAGGAAATCCGCTTTCCGAAGGGGCCGGCTGGAGCCTTATAAAGCCGAGCGGGGAACTGCACCAGCCGAGCTGGAGCGCGGGGAGAGAAGAGGAGGGCGCCTGGAGGGCCGGCCCGAAGCTAGTAGCAGGAAGGTGAGGAGCCGTGAGAGCGCAGGGGCGACGCCCGCGGACCACAGCCTTCTGGTACGGCTCGGCCATAGAGTCCTCCACCACGCCAGAGACCCCTGCTTCCCCTCTCAGGCTCTTTCGGGTCCCTGAGTCCCGGCTTTTGGCCCCCAGGCTCCCAATCTGCTCATTTCAACTCCTCTAGACCCTGCACTGAAACCCAGAGCTCTCTATCTGTCTTTAGGTCTCCCCAATGCTCTAAATTACAATCGGCCCTCCATGCAACCCGAATCTCCGGACACTTCTCCTTCCCCTGGACCCCAGCACTCTCTTCCTATGTCTGAGCCTAGACTTCCCGCCCCAGGTTCCGGTGCCACCAGCGCCCGGCTGGTCCCTGGTACCTGGCAGGTACATGTTGATCAGCAGGGGCTGGGAGGCGCCGCTCTGTCTCATCGCTGCCGGGGACTGGGCGGTGGGAGATGGGGGGGACGGGGAAGGGGGGCGAGGCAGGCTTTGCGCTCCGTGGCACCGATCCCCGCCCGAAGCGACCGCGGGTGACAAGGAGGAGAAGACGCGCCAGGTCCAGCAGGGCCTGGCGGGAGGGGGCAGTCCGGGCGTGGCGGGGTTGCGCGGGGCGGGGGGGTCCTGGAGCAACGCTTCCAGCTAAGGGGCCGCTTGGAACCCTCTGGTCCCCGCGCGGCCAGGGGCCGCAATTTCCGTTTTAATTAAAGCGCTGCCGCTTCGGCCCCCAGGACCCCGCCCCCGCCCCTCTTATCGTCCCATCGCAATAAAGTCTCCAACGCGCCGCGCCACAGCCAAGCGCACCCGGCAGCCCCCCGCGCCCCGCAGCCGGGGAGACGCGCGGGGGATGGGCCCGGGCCATGCGCCCTGATGGGGGCCGGGAGCGCGTGTCTTTTCCGCCTCCCTGATTCTCTGCAAACAGTGATGAGGCTGGTGTACCTGGCCCCACCTCGGACCCCAGCAGCCACAGCCCCCTCCCTAGTGCCCTTCCTCCAGTCTGTTCCCGCTCCACTCGCCGCTCACTCTACTCCCCCTCCCTCCCTCTATCCCCACCCGGGTTCCCGTCTCCAGGCTGCGTTATCTGCATCTTCACTTTTAAATTTCCGCTTCCCTCCCTCTCGCCTGTCGCTGTGCTCCCGGCCCTGCAGCCGTTGCTCCCTTTATCTCTGCCCGCACCCCCGCTCCCTCCTCCTCTTCTCCCACTCTCTGCTCTTCCCTAGAGACCTGAACCCCTTCCCTGTCTCCTTCTTGCTTTGGCCCATTTCCTGCCTTTCTAGGGCCCCCAAGCCTCAGGCCCTGGTGCTGGGCCATCTCTCCTGGCAACTTATGGTGGGTGACCCCCTCCTCTGTCCTCTCCCCCCCTTCTAGGTCTCTCTTTACCATCTATTCTAGGCTTTTCTCTCTGACTCCCATCTCCCCTCCAGCCTTCTCTCTCCCTCTCATCCTTCTCCCTCCCTTCCTTTTCTCATTCATTCAGTCCCCACAAATTAGTAGTGGCCTGGACTGCTGAAGGCCTCTAAAGATGTTGAGAATCTGTCCTGGCTTTCCCTGATGGGTTTCTGAGCCCCCTGCTACTTCCCTGTACAACTATTCCTCTCCCATCCTTCTCCATCCCCTGTCCTCCCAGTCTGCCACCCACCCTCACCACTATTCCCATTCTGGCTGTCCCTGAACCAGGCTGGAGAGGTGGAGGGGTTAAGACAGGGTTGTGCACTGTGCAAGGCTGAAATCCACTCCAAGAAAAGTATTCCTATTTCTAACTCATGCAAAGATATTGATGTGGTTCCCAAGTGTCCTAGAGCCTCTCTGGGTACCGGTGGGGGGACTTCTTGGCTCTGGAGAGGCAGGCTAAGGAGGATGCTGACTGAAGATGAGGCTCCAGCCCAGAAGCCCACCTTCTGCAGCCTTGCAGTATGGAATGGGTACTGTCAAAACTGGTATTCTCCAAGTCCTCTCTCACTGCTTGAGCCCAGGGGTGGAGGAGGCCTGGGAATTGGCAAATCTCCTGCTAAGTGCCTGGTCCTGGGGTGCCTGATTGAGGATGGCTAGAAAGTCCTACTTCTGGGGTTCTACAGGGCCCCTGTTCACCCTCATTTGCTGCAACTGCTGGGGTATTCATCTTTGCTTGTGGAGGGTGCAAAGGAGCCAGGGAGAAGTGTGGGAGGCAGAATGTGGAGGGAAAAATGAGGGATCCCAGGTCCTGGGAGGATCCTAGTGGGACAAGGATGAAGCCTTTGGGATGTGGACCTGGAATCCGGTGGGAGCAAAGACTAGAGGTTGAAATGTTCCCTGTGGACCAAACTCGGACTCTGCAGAAGGGAAGGGTCTTGAAGGTGGGGTCAAGATCCCAATCCCTCTACCGTCTCATTCCTCTTACTGTTTCCCCCACCCACTATGGACAGAAAACAAGGAGCAGGAGGTAAGAACAGAAAATAGCAAGGGGCAGGAGGTAAGAGGTGGGAGAGCTGGGATGCATCAAAATTCGCCCACTTAATGCTCTCAGTGGGAGGCTGAGGTGTAAAGGAGAGGGTCCTAGAGAGGAGGTCTACCCAAATATCCCAGCTCTGAGCTGGGCAGGGATCGACAGTACAGGCTTTATGCCTCAGTCTTACCAAGAAATCAGTTGCTGAGCGGGTGGGGCACCAGGTAATGTGTGCATGGGGGGCAGTCATCTCCACCCACCTGGGTCTTGATCTTCACCATCCCCTTCTGCTGCAAGTACAGCTAGGGAAGCCAACAAGAGAGTCCTTGGCAGTTTCCCCTTCATCCCTTTCCTACCCTGCTGGGCACTGGTCCCATGTGGTTCTGCAGATGGTCACCCTGCCCAGAACGAACGGAGGACCAGAAGGTGAAAGCATTCAAGTTTAGACTGGCCTCTGTGACCCCCACTCCTTAGCTGTAGACAGATGTAGGAAGCAAAACATGACCCCTAGGTCCAGAAAAACCTAGAAGGTCCATGCTGGCAAAGGCTGCAGCAAATATTAACTCCCCTGACTTCTGTGTTGCACAGATGGGGAAACGAGACCCAGAGACCCGAGCCCAGTTCAGAGTCACACTTCTAGTTCCTGAAGCCGTCTTGCTGATTCTTCCGAGCAACCACAGATCCCCCTGCAGGGAGGGCAGCTCAGTCAAGGGCGGATTCCATCTCTCCCTTTGCTCATTGCCTGCTCCCCAAAGCAAGCAGTGGGGAAGTGGCCTGCTGGGCTCTGAAGCCAGTTTGTCTGGGTTCTAGTTTCAACTCCTGACTCTCCCATTTTTTGGTTATGTGACTTTGGGGGAAGTAACATAACCTCTGTACTGTACTTGCATTTCCTCATTTATAAAATGGGTATGGGCCAGCGCAGTGGCTCATGCCTGTAATCCCAGCACTTTGGGAGGCCAAGGCGGGCAGATCACCTGAGGTCAGGAGTTCAAGACCAGCCTGGCTAACATAGTGAAACCCCGTATCAACAAAAATACCAAAATTAGCCTGGCATGATGGCGGGTGCCTGTAATCCCAGCTACTCAGAGGCTGAGGCGGAAGAATTGCTTGAACCCAGGAGGCAGAGGTTGCAATGAGCTGAGCTCATGCCACTGCACTCCAGCTTGGGCAACAGAGCAAAACCCTGTCTCAAAATAAAAATAAAAGTAAATAAAAATAAAATGGGTATGATAGTACCTGCCATACAGAATGATGAGGTTTATATGAGATAACACATGTGAAGGGTTTAGAACAGATTCTATACATGTAGCTATTGTAAATATTGCCATTCCACAAGGGGATGGGGAGGAGCCCGTGACCAGCCAGGAATCACAGGTTCCTCTGGGGCCCATAGAAGTTTGGGGCTCTGCTGAGGCCTGAGGCTTTTAGCCACAGCTCAGTTCAGCCTCCACCTAACAGCCTGGATTTAGGGCCAGGAACTCTGTGTTCAAATCCTGGTTTTGTCACCAATTAAGTGGGTGATGTCATCAAAGCTTCTCCTTGGACTCTCAGTTTGGTAAAGTAGATGAAATTGGAGAGTATTAGGATGATTGAATGCAACAAGGGCCATGGACTCTAGAGCCCATTCGAGTGTAAAGCAAAATTTATATCCCACCCAGAGCTCGTTCCCTTGGTCCCCTGACCCAACCCTAGGATCCAATGTCCCTACATTGACTACCCCAGTGCTTTTCGGAAAAGGGGTTTCTCATGGAATCCTCCTAACAGGCCCTGTGCAGGACAGCAGTCAATAGCCCCAGATTACAAGGTGAGGGAATTGGGTCCCAGGTGTTCTGACTTATGGTCCAGAGCGCTTCTCAAAGGAGCAGCTGCCTGACTTTGCACAGCTGAACCTCTGGGGACTTCAGGTCCAAGTCTGACTGCTCCCTGGCATTGCCCTGCCCTGCCTGACCTGGGGCAATAATCAGAGCCACCCTTTGCCACTGATGGGTCCACTGGGGACTTGAAAACCCAAGAATCCCTGAAGGACAGGATGAGGGGAGTCCCAAGACTCTTGAGAAGCTCTGTCTGTGTAGGGGTCAGGGGGCATCACCAACTGGATTGAAGAGGGAACTGGGAAAAACCCATACTAGTGCCAGGAGCTCTAATGGATGCAGCCATACTCAGCCCTGCCATGCCTGTGGGCACCTGCCACTTGCCCAGAACACAGGCCTCCTCTGAGCAACTGAGGGGTGGCTGCTACAGCTTGCCAGTCTTCTGATGGGTAGGGAGGGAAAGGAAGAGTGAAGAGCAGGTGGTATGGAGCAGCTGAGCGGGGGAGGTATGAAGATGCTTTCTAAATGCTGGAGTTCAACACCACTGCAAGGGATTGTCATTGCTCAAAGGGTCTGGGGGCTGGGCTCACAGGGTGAAAGTCTCCCGTTCGAAGGCCTTGGGAAGCAGTGGGATTTCCCACTAATTTCCCTCCTGCGAATGGAGCAAAGGGGACAACTGCAGGAGGCTCAGGCTTCCCTGACTGGGCAGGGAACTGGGTGAAGATAAAGGTTGAAAATGCTCTGGGATTACAGAGGAAGCTCAGACCTTCAGTGTACAGTAAGGAAGTTCTGCCCTGCATGATGGTACCTGGGTCAGGGGATGTGTGGAAGCTGCAATCCAGTTATGAGCCCTGCTGTGGGGGTGTGTCCACCCCACCCACAGGATGGCAAAGGTGCCATCTGAGCTAGCAGTACTCCTGGCCCGTAGTGGTGAACCTTACCAAGCAGAGGTTTGGGACGGGTGCCATTTAACAGAATTGCTAAGGTGGTTTTTGTTTTGTTTTGTTTTGTTTTGTTTTGACGGAGTCTTGCTCTGTCGCCAGGCTGGAGTGCAGTGGCACCGTCTTCAGCCTCCGCCTCCCAGGTTCAAGCGATTCTCCTGCCTCAGCCTCCCGAGTAGCTGGGATTACAGGCACGAACCACCACACCCAGCTAATTTTTGTATTTTTAGTAGAGATGGGGTTTCACCATGTTGACCAGGATGGTCTCAATCTCTTGACTTTGTGATCCACCTGCCTTGGCCTCCCAAAGTGCTGGGATTACAGGAATGAGCCACTGCACCCAGCCAGAATGTCTAAGATTTTTACCAGCACTTTGCTATCAGCCCCACCACAGCCTATCCACACACAACCTCAGCCATCTTACGCTTGGTAGCCAAGGATTCTGGAGCCTGTGGGGAGGATCAGCTTGGCAGGGAGGGACTCTCGCAAAGATGAGGATGGACATCACAAAGCAAGACACCAAGGAGGCAAGAGGGGCAGGAAGATTCAGGAACCTTTATTGAGGGTCTTCAGGGAAGGTGTCTGGGGCCATGGATCCTAGTGCTGGACTCTCCGGATGGACTGAAGCTGCCCAGTGTGGGCCTGTGTGCCGAACTCACTGTAGGTACGGAACTCTCCGCTGTGCCGGTCTCGCTCCAACACATACTGGTAGCCTCGGTAGCCTGGGTACTGGTAGGCCACCCACCTAGGCCAGTGAGGGCACAGGGGCAGGGAGTAAGCTCTGCCCCCACCCCTACTCTATGTTCTCCACTAGCAGCCCCCCTTTTTGTAGCTCCCAACCCCCAGCTCCAAAATCATTGCTTCAACTTTCCCTACGTGACTCTCTTCCTCCCCTGGCTACTGCTCCCAGTCTTCCTATCACGGTTCTCATCCTGTCTCCTGTACCGACCCTCCATTGCCTCCATCCCCTCATGTTCTCCAGCCCTTCTTCTGTGCCTATATTTTCCTCTGCCCCCCATTCTCCTAGGACCTCCTCATTTCCTCCCTCCCAGTCTGTCTCCATCCTTGCCTCTAAGTCCCCAATATCTCTCTTAGCACCCTCCCCACATCGCTTTTCTCCACCCTCTCCCTTGGTCCCCATTGCTTTCCTGCTCTTCTCTCTGCCTAGTTCTGGTTCCAGGACTCACGCTCCGGAGCTGACTTTGAGGGAACCCACATCCTTGCTGGCCCAGCCCATGGAGGGCAGGGATGGGTAGTCATCAATGAGGTCAAACTTGCAACCTTGGAAATTGTCCCCCTCAAACAGTGTCACACGGCTGTCACTGTGGTTCTGAGGCACAGGAAGGTTGGGACAGAAAGGTCAGGGCTTCCAAAGGGTTGTTAACAGATACATCCTCAGCCTCACTTCCCCCACCCATTGCCCCACACAAGCTGTGCAGCTGTCTAGGACCCACAGGCACTCCCAGAGCTCAACCCATCAGCTCCCTGGCAGGCTGGGAAATGGATCGCTCAGAGGCTCCCCCAAACCTGGCCTCTCCCATGGCTTTGGGCTAAGGAGGTGACTGGGGAGATAGGGTTTCCAGAGACCCTTTCAGGTCAGGACTAGAGAGCACCTTGTGACATGGGCCTGTTTTGCAGGAGCAAAGCCAGAGGTCCTTAAAGAAATCTGTCCCGTTCACCAAGACAGTTCCCTGAGGGCTTCATTGACTAACTGTGCAATCCCCTGCCCAGCCCCTCAGCACAGCCAGCCTCTCACAGATTAGTGCCCAGCTAAGGGGTACTGGATGGCAGAATCAGAACAGACATGTCAGGGCATCAATACTGATTGCATCTTGGCTCTGGCCTTCCCACTGCAGGGTTCTTCAGCCTCTTGGAACAGAGGAAGTGGGCTGGCCTGGGCTGGGTCCTCTGCTCTCCACTCCCCAGCCCTACTAGTAACCAGGTCAGCACAAATGGAAAATGAGATCCTCTCTTCCGGTGTATTTGATTCATTACCAACACCCTCACACATACAATAACACATACACAAACACACACTGAGACTGACTCTTTTCAGTGACCCTGGGCAAGCCACTTTGTCCCTTTGAGCCCCATTTCCACACCTGTGTATGGGGCTAACAGCGGCCACCCTGACCTCACAGGGCTGTGTGACGCCAGAGGCACTCACTCACACATGTGGACTATTGGATGTGACGCTAGGCGCTCAGGAATGGGACGGCCTCAGTGCTGTCCATGGTGATGATTTCTGGATTCCAGGCCTACACCCACAATCCCAACTTTCTTGGGGACACCCTTCTGATTCTGAGAAATAATGCTACTACCACCCATCTCGGAGTTTGTTTACATATTCCCCTGGCAGGGCTTGAACAGCCTTTCCAGGCGCCATGGTGAGGCCAGGGCCTGGAGTTAGGAGGCAGAGGAGGAGAAGTGGGCTGTGCTCACCGCGCAGAGCACTGGCCTGAAGGACAGCAGCTGGTTGCTGTTGTGGCTGCTGCTGCCACTCCAGGCGCTCCAGCGAGGATAGTCTCCCTTCTCCAGAATGAACTGCTGTCCCTGGAAGTCAGGGTACTCAAAGGCCACCCAACTGTTAAAGGAGAAGAGCTGGGAGGTATCTGCCTGAGCCGCACCCCCACTGCCTCCCCCTTGCTTGCCATGATTGAAAAGACTGAGAAGCACAGTATTTTTCTCCAACCCCAAACCCTTCCCTTGACACACCCATTGTATGGCAATCCAGCCCCTTTCGAGACTAAAGGTCCCAAACCTGCTGCTCTCTGGGGTTTGAGGAGCCCAGGCTTCCCGCTCAAGGACCCCAGTTTGGGAAGGAGTTTTCCTGGTTATGAAGATCTCCCGACCAAGTGCTCCTGCCCCAAAGGTTTAGGCCTTTGCACAGGGACACATTGGAGGACCCCTCCCGATTATCATAGCAGGAACTGGGACCTCAGTTGGGGCAGGGATAGGGGGCGGGAGGGTGGGAAAAGCTGGACTCTAAGACCAGGGTGGGGCCAGGGAAAAGGATTGGGTTTCTTTTGTTAAGCCAAGCGCAGAGCCTTCTACTTTTGCACAGAGAAAAACTCTGGGAAGGATGTAAGTACATTAGAAACTCCTTCACGGTGGGGTACTTCTCGCCTGTGTCTCTTTAGCAGAAAAATACACACTTTCCCATGATTTATCTTGGGATGGGTGGGGAATTTTGGGGAGGCTATGGGGTTTCCCAAGTTGGCAGGTCTCTCCAGGGTTCACGGGACGGGGTGCTGAGGCTCTGAGCCTGCGCCAGTGGAGCCCAGTGCCCCTCAACCTAGCCCAGCCGCGGCCAGGCAATCACTCACACGCCGTTTTCCACCTTGACCGAGCGCACCCTGCGCAAGCCTCCGCGCTCGCAGACGTTCGCACAGTCGCTCAGCAGCCGACAGCGACGGCCCTGGAAGTCCTCCTCGTCCCAGAGCGTGAGGCTGGCGGGCGCTGGGCCCGGTGCGGGGGCGCTGCTCATGCCGCTGCGGACAGGAAGGGTGGAACCACGCGCTCAGCGTCTCATGAGCCCCGTTTTGAGCCACAGCCTGCCCAGTCTGGTTAGGAGGTGAAGAACCCGGGGGCTGGACCAGGCCTTAGCTTCTGGACCCAGCTGCCAGGGGCTCGCCCTCTTCCCGCTCTCCCCGCCCTCTCCCACCCCAGCAGCGGGCATTCACCGGGTGGGTGAGCGCCGCACGCGAGAGAAATGGACGGGCTGCGAGGCTGCGCGCGGCGAGGCGGGCCGGGCTTTATACCCCGGCCTTGTCCCCCTGCCCGTACCCTTTCCTTCGCGGGTGGGGGAGCTGAGTCAGCAGGCAGGCTGCGGTCGGCTCTGGTCTCCGCTGGGGAGCCGAGGCCTCTCCCGCAGCCGCCGCTGTGGCCCCAGCCCCCGGGGAAGACAACAGAAAGTGCTGAGGCGCGCACCCCGCGCCCGCCGCAGCCCAGGCTGACTCGGCGCTTTCTTTCTTTCCAGCCTGAGCCAGGCAGGGCGTGCCAGGCCTCGGGGCAGAACTCGCCCTCCCTGGCCCAGCCCTCGGGACGAAGGGACCTGACCTCCCCGGGGCCTCGGGCTAAGACCGCGCTGCTGACTCGCGGAGCGGAAGTTCTTCCCAGAGTCTAATCGCCAGCCTTCCTCGGCCCTAGTCCAGGCCTCTCTTTTGGGCGATGCTAGGGCGGAGGTAGAGAAGGCTCTGCCCAAAGGATTCGCTTCACGTGCTCAGTCCTCTTTTTCCTGGAGGATCGGTCCACCGCGGCCCCTTTCCTCCCAAGTGTGCGTTCCCAGATCCTGCGCCGCGTCCTCGGGGTGTCCTCGGGTCCGGGAAGGAGAGGAGGAGGTGATCAGGACCCGCCACGCGGCGGCGCCGGGCGCTGGAAACGACCGCCCGAGGGCCGCACGGTTTACTCAGAGTTTAGGCATAATAGCCACCGAGGGAGTGGCTTGCCGCGGGAGACAGGAAGAATGTTGGGCCTCAGCTCGGCCCAACCCGTGCCGCTTCGGGTCTCCCACAAAGTTCCAGGCTCTAAGGATTCCGGCCCCCAACGTCTGCCTGAGAGTTAGCAGCTGGGGATGAAGCGCTTAGTTCAGGCGGAGCTCTCTGTTCAGGCTTTCGGGTGCGTGAACTCCATCAATTCTAAAACTGACCTGTGAGGAAGATGCTGTTGTTGTCCTGCATTTCCCAGATGTAGAAGTGGAGGCCCAGAGGGCTTTGGAATGTGGTGGAGAGGTCACAGCTAAGAAATCTTGCAGGGCCGGCGCAGTGGCTCACGCCTGTGATCCCAGCACTTTGGAAGACCCAGGTGGGAGGATCTCTTGAACCCAGGAATTTGAGACCAGCCTGGGCAACACAGTGAAACTCCGTCTCTACAAAAACAAACAAAAATTAGCCGGTCGTGTTGGCATGCGCCTGTAGTCCCAGCTACTTGGCAGCCTGAGATGGGAGAATTGCTTGAGCCCAGGAGGTGGAGGTTGCAGTGAGTGAGGCGAAATCAAGCCATTGCACTCCAGCCTGGGAGACAGAGTGAGCTGGGGAAAGGCAGCGGTGGGGGGGGGGGTGGTGGCGTGGGTGTAGAGAAAGGGGGAGGGAGAGGAGGAAGAGGAAAAGGTTGGGAGCCCCAAAAAGGTTAGGAGTCCCAAGGGGTAGCTCCAGGTAGGAAATTTTCTTACCACTTGCAGTGGAATTTTCTAACCACAGCAGCTGTTAATGAGACACAAAGGCTTCTTGCAAAATTGTGAGTTTTCCTTAATGGTGGTGAGTGTGGGTGGGCATATTCCAGCAGAGGTAAGAGGGGCTAGTGAGAAGGGAGCTAATATTTTGTTGCTCCCACGAGTCACATGCTTCCCTTATGGGTCCTCAGGACAGTCCAGTGAGTTAGGTTTACCTGCACCAATATGAAAACGGAGGGTCAAAGAGGTGCAGGGCCTTGTCCAAACTCATATGGCTAGCCAGTTTCAGAGCAAGAATCAAACTCGGACCTTTGGAAGCCAAAACCTGTGCTCCACCACTGTCCATCGGAGCTCCTGTGCCAAAAAGTGCTCACAGGCCAGCTGTAGCCACCCCAGCTCCCAGAAGCCTTGCCATACCAGCCTGCCTTCTAAGCCTTCTTCCCAGTGTTCCATGCTCAGCCCATCTCAGAGCCTTTGCATTTGCTGTTTGCTACCTGGAGTGTCTTGGTCACAAGATGGTGGCATAGCTGGCTCCTGTGTCACCTCCTTGGTGATGCTGTTCCAGGCACCCTTCCGTCCATCACATCAGCCTTTTTTCTTTGTAGCATTTATCGTGCTGTAAAGTAATCGTTTTCATCTTATGTTTATGGGTGTACCAGCATCTGCCTTACCAGAGTGTAAGCTCCATTTAAAGGGGCAGGGACTGTGTTTTGTTCTCAGTTGTTATCCTCAAACTTAGCACAGTGCTGGATGCATAGTAGGCACTCAATAAAACTTCTTGAACGAGTGAGCGAACAAGGTGGTCAGGCGTGGGCAAATGTCCACGGAAAATGGGTGTAGAGAAAATTCTCCAGTGGAAGTGGGGGGGTGGTGACTTGCTCTCCCACCCTTGAAGTTCTGGGTTGCTGAGAGCGGGCCCTGGGGCCAAAGGCTCCCTTGGGCCTCTATTTTCCCTGGAGGAGTTACTGTTGGAGCTCGCAGTGTGTGTGAAGATGGGTGCCAAGAGTACAGGGCCCTAGAACTGGGCATGGAGGTAGAGTCCGAGTGAGGAGGATATGGGTCAGAGATGGGACAATCTCAGGCAGGTTTGATTGGGGGTGAGGTCAGAACTGTGTCCTGATTCCCTACCCTAGCTGGGGTTTGAACAAATACAAACCGCAAGGAGGGAATGCAAACTACAGAGTGCGCACGAGCTAGTTCTGGACCCTTGGTGTCCCAGTCTTTGCCTTCAGTGTCACCAGCCGGGGCAGCGGGGAGGAGTGAAGAATCAGATCTCTCCTTCCCTCCTTCCCCCACCTCTATCCGACAATTCTGGATTCGGCCACCAGAGGGCGCGAGCAGGCCGCGCTGGCCCGAAAGCTGGCGCGGAGGGCGGGGTGGAAGGGAAGGTCCAGGTCGGCAGGGACCGCGGGCGCGGGTGGCTAGTGCGTCAGGCTGTGCGTCTGCGCTGTCCCTGACGCGGGCGTCAAGTATTGGTCAGAGGGTGTGGGGGTGTCTGTCGGAGACTGGACACTGTGCACCGACCGGGGCTAGGGGCTGGGCGTACTCCTGAGGGCCGAGCTCCACGTGTGGGTCCGACAGCGGCATTCTGCAGGAGGGGTGCGTCGCGCCTTTTCCAGGGTTAGGGGAGGAGGAAAAGTGGGGAGATCGTCTAGCCGAGATCCAGGTTAGAATTAAGAGTCCCGCTTGGAGTTGGGGAGGGGACCCCGTGTGTGAGAAGGGCCCCCTCCTCCTCCAGTGTGAAGCTCTGGTCTTGGCGGCAGCCAACCTTTTCCCTTTTCTACCTCTTCCCTCCTCTCGGAAATGGTATGGAGGTACCCCCACCTTCTCACTCCTTCACCCATGGCTTTTAGTTCTAGTAACTGCGACCAGCTCTCTCAGAAACGGGTATGCCTACCAACACCACCCATAGTCACTGGCCCAGAAGACCTCTAAACATCTCAGGGTTCCCCAACACCCTCAGGCCCCTCCTGACTTTGGGCCTCACAGTCATTGCCAAAGAGAACAACCACTGAGGGGAAGGGGCTTCCAGGCAGCCCTGCCTACTGTGCCAGCGGAGGACGCTGGGATCGATACCCCTTGGGTACCACGGACCCCCTCCCCGTCTCCTCCTTTCCCCACCAGGCTGGTCCAGCTCTGCCCCTCTCCCCAGCTGCCGTGCCCCCCCACCCCTAACAGCTGTTCCTGTTTGTTTTCCCAGATCAGTTGTGCCCAGAGCTTCCTGAAGGATGGCTGCCCAGGTGGCTTTGTTTGCCAGCTCAGTACAGTCACCCCTACCCCCTCCACATCCACAGGCTGGCCTTGGGGCATGGAACGGGAGTTACGTAGACAAAAAACAGCAGCCCCAGTCGATACCTCACAGAGCCCTCAAAATCTCGCAGAGATCTTATCACCCTCAGACACCCCCACCCTGGCCTCATTCAGTTCTCCATCTCACACTGGGACTTCTGGGCCCCACAGGGAAATCCTCAGGCCCTCACCCCACCCCTAGCCACCGTCTCCTGCCCTCTGATTTCACCGAAACCCACATCCCATACAGACCCATAAGATCCCACAGATAATCCTTTGAGCCTGAGTCGCCTCCATGAGGCCCTCAGATCCCACCCAGACCCACATCCCACGTGGGGACACATAGATCCTGCAAGGAAGCCTCAAACCCACTCCTAAGCTCCTGCCCAGATCTCCATCCTCAGCAAAGGCCCTGAGAATCCCAAAGAAGTGGCACCTCTCTCACCTAGAGCCCCAACCCAGGAACAGCCTGACTGCTCAGTACTGCTGGGCAGCGGAGAGGGGCTGGTGGCTCATGTCCTCTCCTCCAGCCGGTCGCCTCCCAGCCCTCCCCCTTCATTTTACTGGGAAATCATCCAGGGTTTGGGTACTGAAGATGCAAATTCAGGGAAGGGTGCCTTCCCCTACCCTGCCACCATCACCAGCCCCTCCTTTCCACCCCTGCTTCTCTGGCCCCCGCCCCCACCCCCAGTCTGGAGCCCAGAACCAGCAGATGAGCACCTTCCCTGAGGCTGTGCAGGACTGGTCTCCTGGGAGACAGAGATAACGGGTGCAGAGACCAGTCTAGTTTAGGCCATTTAGGAGCCCCACCCCCACAGAGTCATTGTTCTATCCCACTAGAAACAGAGCCCCTCTCCTCTGCCTCTCAGTGGGGTTAGAGAACTGGCCACCATCCAGGGAGCTAGCAGGCAGCTTTCACTGTCGCTCACACACCTGGACACAAAGCCACAGGGCTGGCACAGGGTGACAGGGAGAGGGCACACACAGACACATGTTCAGTCAGATGGAGACAGAGTCATCCGCAGTTCCAGGCACATAGATGTGATGCCACAAGCTTCACATGCAAATAGTCTCGTTCTAGGATTCAATAGAAACCTCAATGTCATATTCATGTATGGGCAGACTTATTCCTCAAAGATTTAATATGATGTACTATGTGCCACGGGCTGTGCTGGGTACTGGACTCACAGGCGAATACGCCCCATCACTTTCACACATGCACATACTCACTCCACGGTCACCCAGGGAGGCATCAGCTCAGCCAC